GATTGTGTTTGTTTTGGAACCATTTGGCCAACAAAAGAATGTGTCACGTTGATTAGTAAGAAAAGGGTATGTAATATGTGTGTATTCAAAGCCAGATGAATGCATTATCCAGGTATTTGTTCTGTTTGCTCAAGGACTGACAAAAAATGAATGCTGAGCAAACAGGCCAGTGCAAATGGAAACTGCAGCTCTTTTAGAAGCGGTGTCCTCCTGCCCTAGGATTTATCTGTCTCAGAAAGAGACCAGCCTTGAGAAATTGCATCTGGAAATGGTTCCATTAAAAAAAACACTTTTTCTAACAGCAACTCTGCCACCCCCTAGGAAGATTCCACAATACCAGTGTGGTAAAGCACAAGTGCAGACACTTTGCCAAGGCCACCTGAGACTTTGCTGTTCCTTCAAACAGCAAGCCCTGTCCCCAGCAGACATTCTTATATGACAGACAGAAAGTTCAAGGCACTGGTACAAATAACAACATGAATAAACCAAGGAATAGGCAGGGTGGGCAGCTTCAGAAGAAAACAGGACTCCTTTCACAGCTGCATGCAAGAGAGAATTCTTGTACAACAAGCTGCATCTGCTGAAATTCCTTCTTCCTCACAACTATCAAAGGAGCAGAAGCATCATCTTCTTTTGCATCTGCCTGCCCCAAGGCACGTTATATTTTTATTAGGACCAATAAGATGCCACAAAAACGTGCAAGCTTTTTAGTTCTCCAGAGCAGGCTTGGTGGTACAAAAATGCCTAGTGATTTATGAAGGTGTGATTGCAAAGGGGCTTGTTCACAATGCACAAATAATTTTATCAGCACGCTACTGCTGGGTTATCATTGTCATTACACCCTTCCTTAATGGAGGCTAAAGATCAATTAAGTGTTTCTTTCTGCACTCATGTAAACACAAGCAGATTCTGTTTTTCTAATTTAAGTTAGTGTAGCTGAATATAGGCATATGGATGAACAAAAACAATGCTAAAAGGGTGCCAGTATGTTGCCCACAAGGCAGATGTGTTAATATTTACTCTTATCTTAATTCAAGGGCAAATTTTGAGAAAATTAACTTTGCACTTGACCCAGAACATTCACAACTGTAAATGTGTGCAAGCGTGAAACCTGTTTAACATTCCAGATTTAATGAGTCCATCCTTCTTCAGCGCAAGAAGCAATGAAAAATGTTAAACTGCTTAGCTATACCAAAGTCCAGCTACCCGAACAGGGAACATGTTTGGCTGAAGGAATTCACCTTTCTCAATTCCATGAAGTAACTAACACCAATGTAAAACTCAGTTTGTTAATCTTTAAGCCGCCACACAATAATATTTACTGTTTTTAATAATACAACAGAATAACACAGCTATACTTCTGAAATTTAACGCCAAGGCTTGTGCTTGCATCAAGCTGTGTTACTCTGTTGATTCATGCCAAAAAATTCCCCCTGCCCCAAATGTACTAGACAAAGGGCGCACATGCTATTCCAGTATTAAATGTACAAAACTAGAATAAGGAGGACAACCATAACCTGTCTTGCATTAAAAGACATATCACTAGTAGTTTATGTACTTATACCAACTTCTTTCACACACACATATTCAACATCTTGCCCTATAGCAATTGCAGCTAGGAAGCTTATTTTAAAAAGGAAACTATACAAATTCATGTATTATATTACTGAACAACTACCGCATTGGGTACAGCAATGTTAAACAATATTTTGTAAATGATGTAGTTGTATCCATATTACTTAACACTGCTTGCATTGTATATTAATAGAGTCATATAGGACTGGCTGATCATGTCCTCCATGATTTCTCAAAGATAACAGAACAGACAGTAGTTCTGAGAGTTCTTCCACCAGCTCCTTCGTGATTCTAGAAGGGAATGCATCAGAACTCATTCAACTCAATTAGATGATCCTTGACCATTTGCCTATCAAACTTGAGCTTTCATCCTACTCCATCAGCTTGTACTTCCTCTTCTTCAGGAAGGTCATTGATCTTCTTTGGGAGAAGACTGAGCCAAAGTAGAGATTAAGCACTTCTCCCTTTTCTTTGCCATCTGTTATCATTTTGCCATCCCCACTGAGTAGCTGAACTCCCACATCTTTCCTCTTTTAGTTTATTGTTGCTTTCAGCATCCCTCAGATTTTTCGGCTTGGATACTAACCCCCAAAAGTGAAATGTGTAAAGCATAGGCTTGCCACATGTGCTGGCTCAGCCATGCCATAGGCACCAGCACAGCCATAAGCAACCCTTGGATCTACCATGTGTATGAGAGAGCAAGGCCAGGAACTATTGGAAGGCTACTTGTAATGTGAGGGATCAAGGTTACCCTGTGTTCCCAAAATATCAGACTTATATATACAGTTTGCAGTGCCAGAAAAATATTATTCTGAAGGCATTTTAGTAGCAAGATATTTTTTTTAAAAATCTCCAGAGTTCATAATTTTCTCCTTAAGGCATCTTTGTGTTCAATCTGACTGCAATTTCTCATGTGCATACATGTGGTAGCTATAAACATGATTTGTACAGAGTTGTACACTCTCCATTCAAAATGTGGGAAAGAGGAATCAAAGACAGGCTTGCACACAGCAATTTTCATACGACACATGTACATATCCTTATATGTGAGCAATGTTTGCAGAAATCCACCCAAAACTTTAAGCAAGAGGAAGTTTCTTTTTACCTAATGGCAGATCATGGTCACAGAAGTAACCACAAGTTACCTAGCAAAATATCTGGCTGAGTCATGAAAACCTTACCTGGCCAGATAACAAGCAGAGGCTAAGAAGGGATTCTTGGGGCTCAGGGCCACAAATGGCATTCTTTTGAAATCATCTTGCACATAACATGCAAATGCAAAAGCATACAGCAGTCTCAACATGGGAGGGTGGGTGATGATTATTAGGGCGAGCTTAGTCCTCTACTACTGCAGTCCTGATGCAATTAATTTAGTTGAAGCTGCTATGTGCCAGTGTGGTGAAGTGGCTAAGAGCGCAGGACTGGGACTCAGGCAACCTGGGTTCTAGTGCCTGCTCAGCCATGGAGCCAACTGGGTGACTTTGGGCCAATCACACACTCTTGGCTCAACCTACCTCACAGGGTTGTTGTTGTGGGGATAAGATGGAGGAGGAGAATGATGTAAGCTGAGTTGTTTAAAAAAAGAAAAAGGCAGGCTATAATTGAATAAATAAGTAAATGGGGAAAATTCTCCTCTGAAGCAAAAATGTATCTGACACCAACCTGTCCCTCAAAAGGGAACTGTATCCTCACATTGGAGCAGAGAATAACTTTGACAGAACAAGTAGATCTCCAAATTGTTTAAAAGCTTAAATATTTGGGAATTTTTCTTACAGCTAATGTACTACATTGCAAGAAGATAATTATGATAAACTACTTAAGGAAATTAAGAGTGATCTGGAAAAATGGGCTAATTTGCAACTATCGCTGTTGGGAAGAATAGCAATAGTTAAAATGAATATATTACCAAAGTTCTTATTTTTATTTCAAACAATTCCCATAAAAATTGATAAATTTTTTTGATGTTCTAAACACCCAAGTTTTGAGATTTGTATGGCAAAGGAAGAAACCAAGGATTAAATTAAAAATGCTTCAGGAGGCCAAAGGGAATGGGGGTTTTGGCCTGTCTGATTGGATGTTGTACTATCAAGCTTCTGTCTTAATGTGGCTAAAAGAATGGATAACTTTAAGAAATAAGAGAATTTTGTATCTTGAAGGACATGATTTACAAATGGGTTGGCACGCTTATATGTGGTATGAGAAGTGTAAGATACATGGTTGTTTTTTAAATCATTATATTAGAAAGTCATTAATGTCGGTGTGGAAAAATTTAAAGACAAAACTGTACACTAAGTTGCCACAGTGGCTTTCGCCTATGGAAGCTCTTGTATATCCAAACGCATTGAATTTTGGTATGTTTGTGAAGTATGATGGTATTTTGGATAATGATGGAGGATAGAAATTGAGCCAAAAATTACAAGAGCAGGGTATTAATATCTCTTGGTGGCATAAGGTTCAAATACAATCGAGATATGTTAAAGATTATAAAATGTGGGGTTTTCATAAGCAGTTAACAACATTTGACCAAGTGATCTTAAAATCAGTTGAGAAAATGATTAAAAGACTATAATTTTCTTTTGGATATGAGAATGGAAGATGAACAAGTTAAGAAAACTACGATAACATGGGCACAAAACTTTGGATATAATATTGAGTTACAGAAATGGCAAAAGCTGTGGGAAAGAAATATCAAGGTAACTTTAGCAACCTCATATAAATAAAATCTCTACAAAATGTTTTATAGATGGTATCTATCACCAAACAGATTAGCAAATATGTTTTCAAATATGTCAAATGGATGTTGGAAATACAAACATAAACCGGGTACCTTCTATCATATGTGGTGGACTTGTGATAAGGCAAAAAAATATTGGGCTAAAATTCATAAATGGCTTGAGGAAATGTTACAAAAATCTTTAATATTTAAACCTGAAGTCTTTTTACTAGGCATTGTACCTGATGATGTCAATAAACAAGCTATGTATTTGATTTTACATGTAATTACTGCAGCAAGGATTGCATTTGCCCAACATTGGAGGATGAACTGATTTTAAAAAAGATTCTGGATTGTGCTGAAATGGACAGACTGACTTTGTCTCTGAAGGAGAAAGAGGATAACATACTTCTTTCAAACTTGGGACTCTTTTTATTATTGGCTAGAGGAACGGGACTATGCGTAGATTTGAATATATTTATGGATTGCTATTTAAAAAAAAAGGGGGGGGGGACTGACCCAGCAGGTCTGATGTTTCTGATGACTGATGTTTTTTAGTTTCCTTTTTTTTAGTTTGTAGAAAATAATAATACAAATTTACTTTAACAAAGGGAACTGTATCTAACTGTGGTCTCTTGCCCATGACTGGCTCAGCGCTGCCACCTTTCCCTATGTAACTAGGCATACAAGCACATGAATCATAATTCTTCACCTGCTTGTAGAACTGTCTTCAAAGGGGTACAGGATCTCGCCATTATTACAGATCTCGCAGACAAATCCTTTTTGACTACAAAGGCTGCAGCTGTAGACATGGGAGGTGGCAAATTTGATTACTTTCCCAAGAAAAGGAGCCAACTTTCCTTCAATAACCTGCAAGACAACAGAACAAGAGAAAAATCTGAAAAATCATCAATACAACTTACAGGATACTGGTGTGTTTCATCTAGTGAGATCACAGAACATAAAAAATAATCTTACACCGATTTATGATAGTAGAATTAGATTTCAGAAGTGCCCAGGCCATTCAAAAAGCTGCCTTAATTTATTTTTTCACTTTAAATGTACAATCACTTATTGAGCTGAAATATACTCTTTTTCTAGAGTTGGGTTCCCACACATAAGAGGATTTTTGTCCCATAAGAATGACTGCAATTTCTTGACTGAAAGATGTTAATATTTTTGCATGCATCAAAGTTATGTTTATTTAGCTGCACAACTCAATGAAACAGGAAGCAAAATATTGAAGAAAATGGGCATGGACACACATTCTCAATAGTGGAACAATAGTGGAACATCCTGGCAGACATCTAACACTTCTCTGTTGCACATTCGACATAAGCTACTTGTCCCAGGACTACACAAAACTTGGCCAGTATAAGGATACAGAATAATATATAGGACCATTTTACGATTCATTAAGGCATGCATTAACTGGGTTCAAACTACAGGATAACTTACACTCAAGAGTTGAGTATGAGTTGTCATTGAACTGTGGCTTGTTATTGAAATGTGGATTATTGTGTTGTCTTAATCAAGCCAAGATAACAACCAAATTGTACTCAGAATAGCTTACTCTACTGTGACACAAGATCCTTTCATATCTATTTTAATTCCATAACTTAAGGTACATCTAATGGCCCCAATACATGGAAAGTCATATTTTCAATTATTTAAGCAAAATAAATAATTGGGGGATGGAGAGTCTGGAAAGTCAGACTCTCCATCTCCCAAATAAGGTACCCACATTATTCTTATTTTAAAGAATACGATACCATAACTCAAGATTTTGAGTGTCCTGTAACCAATGCCATAATGGTAAACCTCAAGGAAAAACCTGAAAACAGAAATTCCGTTAGAATGTTTACTTCAGTTATACTAAATATGCTTCTGCAGGCTACAGTCTAAACTCCTACACAGATGTGAAATGGAAAAACGTAGGCAGGAAAGGAAGTTCATGGGAATTGCTTGGGTGGCTGCCATGGAATGGAAATACTGAAAAGTGTTCATTCTTGTAAGACCATCTGGGGCAGCAGGAAGCAGAAATGTTATTGCTAAATGTTCAGACTGGACAACTGTTTGTGTTGTAGGGAAAGGAGATGTTCTGATTGTGTCCTGCTATAGGAAGAGCTCCTTACACTGGACCTTAAACAATTAATAAAAGTCACTATGCATAGGTGTGGTTCAAGGCCAGGACTCTTCTACTGTTATAATAGACTGTCCCAGTCAGGACTGTGAGCAGTTTAAAAAAAATCTCTTCCTTAATTAATTTTGGCAATGAGGGTCAAAAGTCTAAACTGTTAAGGGGAAATGATGCTCAGCAAAAATGAACAAACAAGGAATGGCAGAGCTGTTAGCACTGGGATGTACTTCTGGATTAACATAATGAAATCAAGGTCTGGACCAAGGAGATCTGAACTCCACACTAAGAACAGTCATGTCCAGCACTACACTGTTCACATTCAAACTTACTGTACAGCCAGTAAGAGATAAGAAGCAAAAGAGGAGGAGGAGAGATGCTCACATAAGCTTGAACATTTTGTACACTCTTGAAGAATTCAGTATTGAAGGGTTTGCAGGGTATGGATTCATTTAGAAAAGAAGACTGGCAGCGGAAGGAAAGGGAAGTGGCTGCAGAGATACATGGGGAGAGAGTTACATGGTTACAGTCAGTGGGAGAGGGACCGCTTGCCAAACACTGTATGAAAATTCTGACTAGGGGGCAGAAGAGGTTTTAGCACTGGTACCCTGGTAGCCTCTTGCTCCTGGCTGAGCGCTGCTTGCTGATACCTCAAGATAAATACAGCAGCTACCTGTTGGCCTTTCAAGCAAGGCCAGGCACAGGGCTGATAACATATCATCTTAAAGTGATGCAAATGTTGATGGAATAAGAAACTGGAGTGCACTGGGAAGATTCCAAATAGTCCAGCTGATGGGAATTGCCAAAAGCTACTGCTTCTGGGTTGGAACAAATAATTGCACTCCCTTCTACTGGCAACATGGACCCATCCTGCAATATGGACCCAAGTAGTACTTTGTGGTTATACCAGCAAATACCACGTCTCAATTGTGCTAGGTTGTTCTTGCTGGCAGAGTAGGAGTCCCAGATATTGTCCAATGTGTTTTATGTGTATTTTTTAAAATTCAGGAAATGAATTTGAAGGTATTTTCACAGCAATTTCTTTGAGCCAGGAAGAAAGATGAAATGTTCTAATCGGATGAATAAAGATGACTAGCAAGTCAGAGCATACCTAGCCATTGAAGTGTTTTTAGATTTTTTTGAAACCAACCACTGATAATTGTACATCAGTGATAAAATAGCAACCATAAACTTTATTACTTTCTGTTTTACATGGAAAAGAGGAATAGAAATCTATAAAGTAAATAAATGAAAATCTTTCTAAATTATTAAAGCTTCAGCACAGGTTCTACTGAAGTCAGAAGCAGAACTGTAGGCAGAAATGTAGCTTAAATATACTTACTAACTTACAAGTTTTCTTCATCACACTCAACTGCAGCAATGTTTAGAGTATATTAAATGCTACCATTATTATGTTAATAATCACATGGCCAATCATAATTATACAGAGGCAGGGACATGTTTTCAGGTTGCAACAGTGCCCCATGACATCATATTACTTGAAAGTCACCTTGAGGCACATAAATCAGTCCAGCTGCAAAGAAAACCTCCATAGCAGCACCAGCAGCCACCAGGGATGTTCACAGTTCTGAAAAGTCACACTCTCCGTAGCTGGATGGAAAGTAAACTATCCAGCAATTAGCTTTCAAATCTTAGACCACTCCCTGGAGTCACCACCAGACCAAAGCACTTCCTGTGAATTCCACATGGATTCAATCATGTTTCACCTGACCTTTGTTTGACCACTCTTCACTAAGGTGACTAGAGCACAAAGCTTCTCAATATTTTCATGCCAGAGCTCCAACCCAAGTTACTTTCTACAACTGAGTTAATGTTTCTGCTACCAGTCAGTCAGAGCACCCTGTACTTGGTAAAAAAAACTTGTTCCAAAAAGGTAACCAATCTAAGGCCTGCCAGTGAAAGCTAAATAAGAGGACAGAAATAAATAGAATATAAGATCCTTAGCACCTATAATACCAAGTTTCACAAATCTTGGGTTCCTAGCTTGACAATGATTTGCTAGCTTGTAGATAAACTTGTCTTTCCTAATGATTTCACTTTAAGACAGCTAACCTTGGAGTAGATAGCTTCCGGAAAAGGCAAATAGAGCTTAACATACAGGGATTAAGCCTGCATTTGTTCTCTTCTTTTATTTTAATGAGGCTGCACTGTATTGTAAGAGGTTGTAGGTTAGGGTTAATAACTGAAGCCAAAGGGACAACAAAGCCGGCATGCCAAGGTGCCATTGCCACTAGGAAGACAGTGCAAGTCTACAAATATCTTGTGACCCCACCTTTGTAAATCAGCATGTTAATCATTATCATCATATTGATGATAAGGCTCCTTATAAGTCAACACCACAGAGACTGCAATTTCAACCGCCCATTCATGATGTGAATTATTTTGGAGAAAGTAACATTTATTAAGGTACAGGTCCCTTCAAATACAGTGGTTCATCCGTTAATACCTTTTTATATCATGGGAATATCAGATTCGAAAACAGACTTGACAAGAGCCTTATGCAAGTGTTTGCATGGACATAAGAGGCCTATCGCGGCCTGGGTGTGCATGCAAACCCACCCCACGTCACCAGGGGCACATGCTCCTTTAGAGACCTTTGCACATTTGATAAGGCAAGTTTCCCAAACAGCTGGGCACTTCTATAAATCGTCTTGAGGCCTTAGTTCTAGGCACTTGGGCAAGGCTACTATTTACTGAATTGCCTGAGTAGGGCTAGACCTGATGTAAAGCAACCAATGCAGCCATACAGTTGGCATTTTGCTAGACCCGGGAGAAGCAACAACACAGATTGTGGAAGCCTTCCAAGCATTCTGCCACTTTTCCAAGAGTGGAGCCAGGGCCAGTGGCCATATGAGGCAGCATCATGTGGTGCATGCAAAGATGAGCAAAGGAAGAAGTGGAAGAATTGAGGCAGTGTGGGGAACACCATAAGGGGAGGTGATTGGGGTATAGCCAAGCCTATACAGGCATTTCCCCTTGACCTACTGGCAACCTTGAGGGAAAAAAGATACAAAGACTTAATAAAGAAGCCCTCATATTTCTAGCAACACTGCAGACTATCGGCCTTATAGCAGTGTAGTGCACTGGATGGATCTGGATATGTGAGGTGGTGCTTCAAACTTCCATTTTACAACTACAAAATCTTCCTTGTTAGCTCTGGCACAAATAACTACATTGCACCCTCACCTACCTCACAACAAACAATTTCAAGGATAAAATGGGATAAGAAACTGCATGGCACTTCTATATGTTAAACCAAGAATATTTTAAAATACTGTGCAGACTGTCAGACAGCTCACAATTGTGCATTATGTCCAAGATATCAGAACCAGAACGAAGACTGATTGTTTTCCATGGCTTGCACATGCACTCTTAGAATATTTAGATCGTGGTCTTAACTCCAACTGTTTTGAGAGGATTTACGATACCATGTTCATACATTGTAGAGGCTTGTACCATGCAGAAGTGTCTTCTGGCTAGAGAGACTTGCTCTTGTCCTGCCTGCTCCCACCTTTTTGTTCTACTTTGGCTCAGCTTTCTGAAGTAAGCAAGTATGGTTGTTTCTTCCTAAGCAGCTGCCTGCATCTCTCTTTCTTGCAGATGGTGCAGGAAGATGCTAAAGAGCTTCTTACTTTTCACAGTACCTGGAATTTAAAATGCAGAGAAGTTAAACTTCAGGCCTGTGGATCAAATCTGCCCCTCCCTGGGTTCC